TAACTGATTTTTTCTCTTAAAAACGCCTCGCCTATGAAGATGTATGTAGGTGCTTCAGACAGAGTAAGATGTATCCAGCTGTTATCAATGAATCAATGAATTTTTCAGGCAACAGTAAAAGCGTTTCTTTTTACGTTCATGTCATTATCATGTAATAAATGCTGATTTGAACAGAAAGTTAAAGTTTTTTTCTTTTCTAGAAGATTATAATCAACAGAAGCACTTTGGGACGCTTTGAACCTTATCGACTGAATGACTTGTAATCTAATTTCAGTTGGTTTCTGGGTACAAATAAGGCCTCCGCGCTTAAAATTGAGTTTTATTCATAATCATAGAACGAGCCCTATAGAGTTCTTTTATCTGACTCTCAGTTTTACCTCTGAAAATCATCGAGGATCGTATTAGCATCTTTTAACTAAGTTCTTACTCTTTCAGGTGATTCCCATAGCTTGAGGGGTCAAATTTACAATAGGTTTATCTATGGAAATTCGTGTACACAATGGCTCAAGTGGATTCAATTTGAGAAATTGTGTTTGCTTGAATTGGAACTTGTCTGTGTAACGTTAGGCTTCAAATTGAGTAATTTCGTAAAAGACAACAATTATATAATGCAAACTGAGTATTATGAAAATCGAATTTTTCCCGAAATGGTTTTGAATGTAGATTATTCTAAAGATAGAGTACCCCCCATGTGCATCGCATTCCGAGCAGCTGTTTCGATAAGCACCCCACAGAAATATATTTTCAAAAGTAAACGGCGAATTTTCTTCCCTTCTTACGTAAAACTTCTTGGGGAAAAACTTTCTCAGAACTCCTATACATTTTCTTACGCGTTTGCAAAGTTAGAGGAAGATTTTTTTTCGGACAACGGGAGACTTCTAAACGAGACTTGACTTAAACCATAAGTAAGTAAGTAAAGTCTTTATTTAAAGAGGGTGGCACTTAATAGCCAAACGGCTAATGAACATGTGGTCCTCATACAATACATATGATAATACTAATGCAAATANGCATTTTACATCGGCTTGAAAAATTTTTTGTCATCCTGTTTTTTATCAACGGAATCATTTTGGTGCGCTTTATTTTGAAAAAGTTCCAATCAAAAGTTTTCGGTTGTTCAGCCAAGGTGGGATGGATGGTAAACTAAAATAAGTGAAATAACTAAGTTGTCTGGTTAACAATCAATTGCTTCAGGACTCATTTATTTATTAGGTAATTAATTCATTCATTTATTTATCCGCTTTTTGATAGCCAATAGCTCTGGTTAAATTCTTGCAAAGAGACTGTCTGTTCGCAACGTTGACGAAACAAAGAAACATTTTTGCATCACATCATCCAGAAATTTTATTTTAAACACATTGTAACCAATATATATTTATCGTAAAGAACACATCCTCTTTCGGATTAAAACAGTTTATTTTTACAGCAAAAGCAATCTATACTTCAATTTAATCATCTAATAATGCAGTCGAACGTTAAATTATGATAAGCTGTGCTGTCTTCAGTTCATGTGAATTCATTTCTTTCGTTCCACTTCACATCCCAGCTCACGGGCCTGTAAGCAGATGTCTCTTCGGTAATGTAGCTCTTGTTGAGACTGTACAAACAATATAAACAGAATAGAAAAAAAAGTAGTGAGCTCTCTTCTTGAAACACGCACGACAATAGGGGCATGTGTGTTACAAAAATCGTCTCAGTGCCCCATGAGCTGGTTTTCCTCGCCTGTTGGGCGAAAAAGGTGATGGCATGCTACGTCGACTTAGGACATTTAAGACACATACAATGCTTCCCGTTGGATACAACGGATGTATCACATTACCCAAAATAAAAAAGGCACACGTTAAACAAACCAACAAAAAAGCTTAAGCTACAGATCTCTGCACTAACCTGTTTAAAGCGTCTGCGGTCATTCATCTTCAAGATTCCTGATGGCGGCTTGTTTAGAAATAAATAGTTTAGTTATGACGTCGTTTACGAGAAGTAATTGTTTAATAACGTCAGTTGATACCTAACTGAAATCGATGGGAGTATGGTTTACATAGAAAATTGAACTCATTCAAGAGGAAAAGGAAAAGAAGCAAACAGAATATCTGATGAAATAGGATAACTAAAAAAAACGTAACTAATGAGGAGATTTAGGCGGACAGGAAATAAGATTTCCACGGAGGTTATAGATATACATACCCCTCCAGTGCTAACTGAATTCGGCCCCATCCCTTCGACCAAAACCAAAGAAAGGAACATTACCAACAACACCGCGGTTTTCATGTTGCTTGTACCAGCTTCACTCACTAACTGATTCTTTTCCTCTAAACTCCTCGCATATAAAGATATATAAAAGTGCATCTGTCAGAGGGAGATGTATCCAGCTGTTTTGAGGAGCTCTTTATTTAGCTCATATTAATGAGTGTTTCCTACAGCATTAAAGCCGTTTCCTTTTACGTTCATATCCCTACAACTGATAAATACCTATGTGTCCAGAACGTTTTTGCATCTCTCCCTGAAAAAATTATATATCATGGCTTGCATCGACAAAGGAAGTTCCTTTTGAACCTATCGACTGGATAGTAATTGACAACGCTCTGTAATCTGAATTTCGGTTGTTTTGTGAAATCAAATAAGGCCGCCGTGCTTAAACTTTAGTTCTATTCATTATCATATAAGGGGAAAAATTACTGAATTGGGATTGGTCAAGACAGAGGGCATTTTTTCTTAATTTTTGTAATTGCCCCGGGCAAAATTACTTGAAAATGATTGGCTGAAAATCGCTTAGCAACGGCTGCCAAGGTAAAGAAGTTTCTGTTTGTTTTGTAATAATGGCGTCCCGTTTTGCGCGAGATCAGTAAGAAAACATTTTGCCCCTTATATTATAAACAAGTAATCACATGGTTCCTCGTAAAATTAAGGATTAATATCACTTGTGTTTTCGGAAGTTGCAGAAATTGCCCTCGTCGCTGCGCGACTCGGGAAATTTCAGCAACTTCCGAAAACACGCGTGATATTAATCCTTAATTTTACTCGGCCCCATGCGATTACCTATACTAATCACCGAATTCTTTCGAGTTTAAATCTTGGCTGTCGATTCTCATG